CGAACCGAACACTGATTTTGGTAATAAAATTCAATGATTTGCAAGCGTTGCTCGTTAGTAAGTCTATTCATGATGAAATGTCAAAGCATACTGAGCATCTTTCTCTTTGACACCATGTCTGAAATCCCACGTGATCTGTCAAATACTAATGCATGAAAATCCTAACCTCAAAAAAATCACCCGTTACATGTGAGCCGTTTATTTTGATAGTGGCATAAGTCACCTCGTACCTCTTGTGCTTAAATGGCCAGCTACTTGTAACCGAAAGCAGCTGCAAATCGTTCTAACGTCGTAAACTAATGGCAAAACCTTCTACCATTGGTTGATGAAGTTGAACCAATAACCACCGCGCCAGATACTAGTAACCGGTAATTTAAGCGCAGGAGCGCTTTATTTATTTAATCTATTCAACTTATTTTTAAATAATAAATTCAAAGTGTAAATTAGCCCTAGCTGCTGGGGCTATCGGCTATGTATGTATATATATATATAAGTCTCTCGGAAACGAGTCTCTCTAACGATTTTGATGGAATTTTGTATTCAGAGATTGATTTTAATTTTAAGGGTATCTGGAGATAATCGTACAAAGTTAACACGTATTCGAAATTATTTATAAATTAAATAAAACATCATAATATGGGTATCAAATAGAAGGTATTTTAAAAATCCCCAAACCAGAATAGGGTTGCCACCTATATTCCAACTTATATTTATTTACCTTTTTTTTAATAAAATAAAGCTCTTAAACAATGTTTTGCCTATGTAGTAAGTGGTATTCCTTAGGATATTAGTTTAAGGCTGCCACTATCGATTCTACAAAATTTAACTAAAACCATAATATGGATATAAAATGAAAGGTAGTTTTGAGAACTTGAATTCAGAAATACATATATTCGATGACGGTTGCTACATTTTATTTTTGTAATACAAGCTTGTGTCTTATTAATTTCAACGAGCATTTTTTGTATGTACATATCCCACATGTTGTTTTAATCTATATCCAAACCTTCTCCTCGCTGATACGAACACGAAGGTATCAATGGTTCTTCAATCCGACCTCGATAACATGGAGTCCATCGATGTCAAACTTTAAGAAACTTTATTTTCGTTGTTTTTGTGGATTACTTGGACATCGACCCACTCTATTTACTCGATTTTAAACATTTACAATTTTAAATATCATAACACGTCGTTTCTAAACAATTTGAGTTCAAATTTTCATAAAAATAATTTTGCCCGCTTAAATCGGACAAATACCCCTGTGTGAGCCGTATCAGTTTCGCGGGGTTGCCAAATTCAAGTCTTTTCCAAGATTTGGCGTATTGTTAATATCTGGTCTATGGTGGTTGGCGTGAATGGCGGGCCGCCTTTCATTTGAATTGCGAAGAGCACACTTAAATTCCGGTCGTCGGGAATGCATCTTATCAACGCCTCGCCACCGTACTTGTAAAATTCAGCTGGGGGTTCGTCTTATCCACAGCTTTCAGAGCTGCTACCATGCAGTAGGGTGGAAAACTATTCCCCCCCCATAATTTAAGCACGTTCTGTACATCGGTCACTAGATTGCCATAGTTGTTCTTACAGGAGTTCATACCTCTCTGGTAAAATTTTCGAGCATTTTTCCTGTCGGCCAACATTTTAAGCCTTCGCTTAGGGATTATAACCCTCACTACGTAGAATTCTCCTTTCTGTGTTGCCAAAGAAAAGGGGCTGAACATCTTTTGCAGAGAACACCTTTCTGCGTAGGCGGCCCTCGGTCATACTTAGGGATTATAACCCTTACTACGCAGAATTGGGGAATATGACCCCAATCCCCCTACTATTTATTTAAATCTGAACAAAAGAACCTTATCATATTTTCCTTTTAATCGTATTTTCTTTTGATCCTACTTCCCATGTTTGTTTTTAGATGTGGCAACACAGTCCTGCTGTTTAACTACACATATATTGAGTGTAACTAACGGCTAAATTTAGTGGAAAGTACATTAAATATTGTGAAATAGTGCCATACAAGTTTTTTAAATTTACAAACTTTAACAACAAAATTTTTAAAAAACTCTAAGGCTCCGCGCTTTGAAACTTCATACAGACAACTATTATACCCCCCTCTACCTCCCATATATTCCTTAATTCTGTACCCCGGGATTACCAATCTAAAGCCCACCCTAATTATCAGCTACCACTATTTTACAAAAAACACTACTGCCTGAATATCCACACCTGCTGAACGATAAACTCAAACTGAGGAAGCTTGCGTGAATAGACGAAGAAATCAAACGACAATAACAGAGGATTTAAAGGCTGAAATTCAAGATAACTAGTTGGTCCATATTACTCGCGTAGTCCATATGTATTACCCACCTTTACTCCACACTGAGGGAAATAATAGTAAAATGAAACAAAAACGTACTTAAATCAAATAGAAGCGTGTTCAAAAATATTGTATGTATAATGGAAATAATAATAATATAATAATAGATTGGCGCTTACACATATGTTAGTGTTTGGCCGAGCTTCTGCTCCGATTTGTGGCGTGCGCCTTGACGTTGTCACACAAAGCGGAGGGACCTAAAGTATTGAGAAGCTGTATTTTTCATGGCAGAACTACACTCGGAGGTTTGCCATTGCCTGCCGAGGGACGACCGCTGTTAAGAAAAAACCTTTTTTCGATACTTTTGCGATGTTGCTTTCACCAGGGTCTGAACCCAGGTGCTGCGGAGTGGAGGCGCACACTGCTTACCACTACACCACAGCGGCCGACACTAATGGAAATATTCAATTAAAATACGGCCATATTAAAAT